TACTTGAACATTCTATATTAGACTTTCACTAACAGATAATATATATACATGTGATCCATCATACAAAAAATATATTGTGACAAAAACAAAAGAAGTAAAAGTAGGAACCTCTCAGCCAATCATGGTAGAACAAACACAAGCTAGCTCATGCAAACTGATAGAATCTTTGGTGACAGCAAATATTCTCATCTCAGTACCTTCAGATTCTTCCATGCGGAGAATGGTTGACAAAGATCCAAGTATACCAGAAAGCCTCCCCAATGTTGCTTCTGACATTGATCTCTTAACAAACTGCAGGAGGTATTGTGTGCGGTCGAGGAAATTTTTAATAATTAACAAAATAAGAATATTGCACAAAGGAATCTTGACTCATACTAATGGCAAAAAAATAATTAAGTACACAGGCATAAAAGGCATTACAATCACGTTGTAAAAATAAATCAAAGAGAAAACACATTAAATTTGTTTTCATATTACATCTCAAAAATGGTGAGGCAACATTTGCTTTCCAATTCCACCAACATGTGCACATGCTTTTTGAAGTATATAAGAATATGCATCATCTTTCTACCAGAGAAGCGAATGGTTAATGTTTCTCAGTTACATCTCCTAGAAAATTCTAATATTTTAGTTCCTGAAAGTTTTTCCTATGATAGACAAGAGGTCTTGATTACATATTTCTATCTTAGAAATCTTACCATATCTTTGTTGCAACCCCCACATTTGTTCTGAATCTGTGACCAAACACACAACGGATGATAGCGCAATCAGAAATTTGTAGGCAAACAGAAAACAATTGTTTCAAGTGCTTACCTTGATTGAGAACTCAGTCACATCTAGCAACAGCAGTTTAGCCTCGTAGTAGTGGGCGAGAGCCTTGGCTAGCATCTGCTGATAAAGCTCTTCAAAATTAAAGATCATCTTAATTAGTTACAACTCCAATTAGATAACAGTGGATAGAGATCAATTCAAAGGCCAGCAACTTGGTATAAGAACTACCTGTAGGACCTGAGAGCAAAATGGCCCGACTTGCGGGGGTAAGGTTTCGGGTGTATTTTAGGACATCTGTTTGCTTCAAGTAAACATAAGCTGCACTAGTTAATATAACTCTGGTCTGTTCGCTGTCATCAAAATCAACATCCATGTAAGAAAGATGCTATGATTGAAGACAGAGCAATGACAACTAAACACAAGCCAACTCAAAAGTAAAAGAGAGGTTGTAGAATGACATCATCTTTCCTCAATAACAGAGCCAATGAATAGCCACATGAATGATTGCTCCCAGACAGTAAATTGAAAAGTATGATGTAAATATATGATTGCTCCATTCGATGGCTTGATGGACAAAGAAGTTGTACTTCACGATTACAGAAAATAGATAATATCAGGTGCCAAACGGCTGCTTCTATTGAACAGCCAGGTCAACCTGGTGGGTTGACCTTGTCCACTTAATTATTTAACCCTCGTTAAAATTTTAAACTATTAAAATTATTCCCCTAGGAGTAAAAATGAAACGATGTAGTTGGAGGAAGAAACATGACAGCAAATATCCAGCATTAATACAAAAAAAAGGCAGAAGTTTTCTGAGCAGAGTTGCATTTAAGGAATTCAGCAAAAAATCTCATTTACAAGCCTATGATAGAAAGGCAACCGAAAAAGAAGTATAAACAATAAAATACCCTTTACCCCAATGTCATATGGCAGGAGACAACATTGGCAATAATTTCATATGCCAAGAGGCCCTCAAGGTTATAGTGCTTCTGTGCAACAATTCTTATAATCTGAAGCAAAAAGACGCCTGTTCTTGATTCAACATTGACATGCAACCGATGATGTATAACCCGATGCTGCCAAAATGCCAGGCTTGCAACTAAAATTCTAAAGTATATATCAGTATTCCTGTCTTCCCAAAATCTCTGCCAAATTCAATGGTGACTGGGAAACTGCTATACCCGTTCGATTATAGCATGTTAATGACTGTCCATCTGATCCAAGATCCATCTTATCCTATTTGAGATAAGCCGAAAAGGAATCGCAAGAAGAACTACGGAAGGGAGAAACCAACCGGATCGTAACCTAGTATACCACAATCGATTCCTCGTAGAGTGAGGATTTTTTTCCCAGATACAGGTCGGGGATCATCTCCTCCGTTATTAGTGGAAAAAGAATAGTGTAATAAAAAGGAACCATCAGACACTAAAGAATGGGTCATGAACACCCTGTCATCAAATGGGAAGAAGAAACCAATCATATCTATGCCCATCAAGAACATTAACAACACCCAAATCATGGGAACAAGACAATCCAAAGAAAGCAACAAAAGCTGTCATCCCAAGGCCCCCGTGATTCAAATAAGCTCGCATCTTCCAGTGGACCCGAATCAAGAACGACAAAGGAAAGCGATCGGAGTGAAAGGCTTTACCTAAGGTAGTAAGGGAATTCATCGAAGGTAACTTTGGTTTCCCTCCCATCCACGACCCGCCTTCGAAGCTCCGCCTCAACGGCCTCCTCGGTGACCCCATCGGACGACGAGCCTGCCGGCGCGGCCCACTTGCCGACTGCCTGCCCCGACGCCAAGCCGATCCCCAGCCCGACCCCGACCCCGACCCCGAGGACCGACATCAGCAAGCCCCTCTGCTCCATGTCAGAACCCAAGGAGTCCTCTTCTTCGGGACCTGACCTTTCCTCTCAAATCGACATGTAACGACGGGGTGACAAGAAGAAAGGGGAGGAGGAGTCCAATAAATCCAAGACCAGGGAGTCGCCTTCTTACCTTTTCTCGTTCCGTCTCTGTTCTTTCTTTGGGCAGAGATTTCGGAAGACTACGGCGAGCTATTTATAGGAGCAGAGAGCCGTAAGAACTCCACAGGCGTGATGAAACTAAATAGCTTTAATAATCACTGCACACACACACACACACACATATATATATATATAATCAAATTAAATTAGTATATATAAGTATAAGTGAAATCACAAATAATCAAATTGAATTATTCGATTAAAAAAACATAAGAGTAGGTTTTAGTTAAACATTAGAAATAATCGATGTAGCAAACTCAATTAGAATCGAATAGAGAAATATTTCGAAGTGAGATGGCTTTTCGAACACGACGGTCGCGAAGCTGGAAAAGACTAGTGGGTGGCGCGATGGAATCGTTTTGCGCGGAAAGCGGGGAAACGGCAGTCGGATTGACGTGGCCGGAGAGTATTTTGACGTGGCGTTGGCGGTAGTCCTTCTTACTGGCGGCGAAAGGTGGGTCCCGCGGGCGGCAAGCCCCGCTTGTGGCTACGAGGCACTCTCGACCTATCAAGGCTTGACACGTCCTCTTTGCAGATCCGAGGAGGAAGGTAGAACGGCGCTTTAGACACCGTAAAGGAAGCAAAATAAAGGAAAAAGGAATGTTGCTCTGTGGAAACTTCTTTTTGAGACAACTATCCCAAAGTAACTTTATCCATGTCAACATTCCATTGAATACATATTTGTCAATAGTCTTTAGCTTTTCTTTTTTGGAAAAGTTGTTTCATAAATTTGTAAGGATGTGAAAAAAAATCAAACAGAAAATTTGATTCCCCAATAGTACCTAAAGTCAATCACCTACTTTTTTTTTTTCCCCTTCTCTTTTCCTATAAGACTGATCCAATTAAATATTTTTACACAGTATTATAATATTTTAATAATAACAAAAAAAAACTATAACTTAGTATAAAAATATTATAACATAATATTTTTTACAAATTTTGTAAGAACACTACAAACATAGTGTCTATAACATAATATTTATCATCCTAATATCTTCTTGCATGATATAGATTCATCACTCACCAGCACGGCAATACTATTATTGCATGATGCACAGAAACCTTGATGGTTAAAGAATGGTGCCAAGCTTCGAGCTCACAACAATGGAAGGATTGGGATCACAAGTAATGCAGTAACAGTGAAACCTTGGCATCAAAAGAATGCACGATTGAAGTCACCATCAGAAGACCTAACCTAACTGATCCAACATATCACCAAAACTTTGGCCTCACAAGAAGATACTGCCATGGCATGGTTGAGCCAGGAAAACTGCGGATCGGCCCCAGCCAGCCATCACATCCACAGAAAGCCAAAAGCATGATAGGGGTTCGAGACACGCGCTATAGGTTATCATGCAGAATCTGGAGCTGCGGCGGTAACGTTCGTCCCCTACCTCGCACCGCCAGGGATCGGCCGCTTGCGAGGCCATCACGGCACCACCCAGCTTTTGCAGGTGGCCCTTTTGGTGTCGCTGTCGACTTTTGGACGGCTCTCGCCACCCACCAGCGTACCAAACCCAGCCCCGGGGAAAGAGCGGCCAGCAGCTAAAGTAATGGTGCGAGGGGCGGGAGCTCTCTGATGCAAAAGCCATGGCGTCCACCCTGGAATCTTGGTGGTGGAACACAACTGGCGCCGACACGGTGGCTGCTTTAGGATCCTTCGCTACCGCTAATGCCCATTACGTGCTACTGTCGTTGATGCTGATTGCCTCGTCTTTTGGCACTTCCCATGTCATCCTCCAATTGCTGATTGGACCACTGTGTTCTAATGCTGCTGTGTTAATCTAATGGCCACTTTGGACATCCGATGAAGTATTTATCGTTGGCGTAATGTCATAATTATTTAGGATCAATCATATGGATCTTTTTGCTGCTATTCAACTGTGTAAAAAGCGAGATTCCTAACTTTAATAATCATACAGATCGAGGTATTATGAAAGAAAACAACCCAATTTATTTGTCACGTCAGATGGATACACAGACTTGGTGTGAGTATGATCTTTGGTATGATGAATCGGTCTATTTCTTTGTCATTTTTGTTAGATGATTTGCGCTAAAGTTACTGCCACTATGAACGAAAGCATTATGGAAGCCTTTTACCAGTTTATTATTTCATCTCTTGAAGAAGGAAGTCAACTTCGTGACGCCGGCAACTCCCGATTGATTCAGGATTGCAATTCGTGCATCCAAGTCAAGACTAAAGTATCTAAGCATTAATGGCTTCCTCTCTCGCTCTCTCTCTGCTGTCTTTCGATGAATCTGTTCCGGAGTTCTCACAGCCACACAAAGTGGGATCTTCTTTTGTCTGCTATAAACATATAATCAAAACTGTACATGCAACAGCCGACACAAGAACAAAGCAGAAGCACTATCCTCTTCACCTTCACTGCACCTCGTCGGTGGAGGAAGATGAATGAAAGCGAAAGCTGAGGAGATTACTTGTATTACTGTCGGTGATTTGCCGGAGAAAAAACGCAGTAGGCTTCTCAAAGTTGGGTCGTTCATGGAATAAGGGATTGAGATCGCCAAATCTGCTCTGTTGTGGGCTTTCTGTGCGTTGCAGTTTGGGAGCTGTAATCGCCATCGACGAACGTTCGGACGCATCCTGATAGTCCCACATCGGTGAGCGAGGTTCAAGCGCTGAGACGAGAGCAGTATACAAGCAGGCGATGGCTGCCGAGGTAAAGCATACCTTTCTCGGCCTTTTGGCTAAGATCAAGTGTAGTATCTGTTCTTATCAGTTTAATATCTGATACGTGGGCCATCGGCTCACCATGATATTAAATTAATTTATTGTGGGGGAGGGTCCATCACGGCAGCTTGCTGCTGGGGCCCTTGCGCGTCGCCCATGCGTTGCACTACTGCACGGGCATGGCGCACCCCGACCAAGTCATCAAACCAAATATTTATCGTGCTCGGGCCTGGGCCTCTCTTTTCTCTGAATTGCCTATACATGCTTTACATTTTGGAGTGCGGTACTGCACAGGGTTTTCCTATGGAACTCATGCTGCAGCTTCGACTTCGTTAATGTCCGAGTTGATCGATCGCGGATGTACAATGGACTTGCTAAAGGTTGGTCCTTTCCGTGTGATGGCGATGGAGATGTCGTTAGGGAAGAGGTCGCGGAGGACGAAGGCGTGCACGATGGTGGAAACGAGCAAGGCTGTGACGGTGAAGGTGGAGATGGCCGAGAACCCAACAGAGAGAGCTTGGGTGAACGCGTTCGTTACTTCCATCGAGTACCTGATGGTTGCGATCGAGAAGCCCGTCATCGGAAACGTGTATGCCCACCAAGCAAGCGAGAACCTATTGCACCAATGATCAGCAATCGATCACTCACAGAGATTTCAGAGGTAGAAGAAAAAGGAGTTACCTTAAGCCTCGGAAAAGGTTAATCCTCACAGCCTGCACAAGAACGAATTCTTCGTTTATTATCATCTTTTTGGTCAACCGGAACGAAGTAAACGAAGGTCGCATCAGGGAGAGGACTCACGAGAGAGAAATAGAGGAAGAGAGCAACGTAGTAAGCGATCCTGGATCCGTAATCGAAGTCCCCGTTGATCGTTGCCCACGCCATGCACGCAACGCTGGGAGCTGCCACGAACAGGAAGAACACCGGATGGAGCTCCCTGGGCAGCGTCACGTTCGTGGGAAGCCTCTGGTACAGAGTGACGAACAGGACGGTGTAGTGTGCCAACCCAACGGCGAAGAAGAAGATGGGACCTTCTCTGAGCCCCACGGAGGCGCCCGCCAGTGCCCCCACGAAGTTGCCTACTATGGACAGATGATTCGAAGGGTTGGCCACCTTCGACAGCCTGCGCTGGCCTCCGGACATCCACTGCCCGTAGACCTTGAGCTCGAGGCAGAAGATGGGAGCCATGAGAGCATACCAGAGAGCAGCAGGGGGTTTCTCCGCCACCGACGGCGGCACTCCCTGCACCAAGAAGAGGCAGGCTATCCATGGAGCGAAGAAGAAGTTGCCGCGGACCGGGTGGTCGTACTCTCTCCTGACAGCCTCGAAGTAGAAGATGATCTTGCACGCGTAGATGAGGGACACGGTGCTCATCAGCACCAGCGACATGCACCAGAGGGCGAGATTGACCGTCAGGCTTACGTGCAAGAAACCCACGGATGGAGATGTGGCCAACGTCTTCCACAGGATGGCTTGGCTACCGACACCCAGGCACATACCGAAGGCAGATATCGGAAACCGAAGAAGGAAAGGCCATTTCGTGTCCTCGGGAAGAACCGACACCTCCGATACCCTCAGTGTGTCTAATTCCGGTCCTTCTAAGGCATCAAAGTAGCGATCGACTGCCGGCAGAGGCTCGACTTCAACTATACAGCCATCATTCGCCTCGCAATCGTGTTCTTGAGGTCTCCCACGGAAGCTCGACAACTGCCTCTCAAATCTGCCAGACCATGTCTTGAATGGATCGAAGCGTTTGTCCCTCTGGTTATCGATCCCTGATGCTCTTCGACTCTTCCCGAGTGGTATAGGCTGAGAGCGGAGCTTCCCCTGTTTAGGTTGCTCCAACTCGACGGCAGCAGAATTAGCAGGCTGAAGCACGGGTCGAGCCATCTCACTTGGTCCAGATTCGATTTGTAGTACATGAAATCCACAAGGAGAGGCTGGAAGACTTTTAGGAATAGAATATGACAGGTTGGTATCATGTCGTAATGCTGAGTTTACTGGAATGCTGGTTGCATCGGCAGGCAGATGACCGTAAGCATCTCCAGTTTCCTGGAACAAGACATGCGGTTTTAGTGAGACGATCTGGAGTTCAGATTGCCGAGAAACACAAGCTCTAAAGCATTGTGAAGAGAAGCGATCTCAGCTCCATCATTCACCAAATAAAAAACTCGGAAGCTAACCTCGCATCTTACTTTGCCACCTGCTGTTTCTCCTTGCCAATTGGTGGCAGCAGCGAGCTGAGCCTGAGAAGCAACGCCGGTGCCACGCTCGATGCTGTCGAAGCCAGCAACTTTTTTAGATGCAACGCACTTGAGAAGACATGGAAGTACTTCTTCACGGAGAAACGATCTCAGCTCCATCATTCACCAAATAAAAAACTCGGAAGCTAACCTCGCATCTTACTTTGCCACCTGCTGTTTCTCCTTGCCAATTGGTGGCAGCAGCGAGCTGAGCCTGAGAAGCAACGCCGGTGCCACGCTCGATGCTGTCGAAGCCAGCAACTTTTTTAGATGCAACGCACTTGAGAAGACATGGAAGTACTTCTTCACGGGAAACTCCTTCCATCGGGATCAACTGCACCCATATCATCAAACACAAAAAACCATAATCTAAGCAGTAGAAAACAACAAGAACTAGAGGGAGGTTTATAGCGGTTGTCTAACTACATTTTCTCTAGGAATCATTCCTGATTACCTAAAAGGCAGTGGTCTCTTGTCAAGTGGCGACTGGCAAAGGAAGCGGTAGGATGAACCAAGCTTTCTTTGATATACAATGTATACATAGACACTGAAGATGAGATGACAGAGAGGAAAAGGAGAAAAAGAATACTTGAAAGTCATGTACTATGGCTTGAGAAGCAGCAAGTGGTCCAACGAACGAGAGGGAATGCGGCTTGAGAAGGAGACGACACTCTCTCTAGAATTCTCACCAGACTTCCTCGCCGTCGCTGTGCCCTTTCTTGACGGAAACGGAACTGCGATTGATCCAAGCGGCTGAAGTGAGAGATGGGTTATGCAGTGAACAACCACAGGAGCGATGAGCGAGGGAACGAACGCTCGCCAGTTGTCAGAACAACTCTCCGACCGCATCTGCTGCCACCTTTGCCAACACGGTAGTACGACGTTCGAGTCGGCCATCGGCCACAGTACTCGAAAAGAGACGTTCATCTGTTGATTTAGCCCATAAGTTTTTCGTGGCTGTGAATCACCAGAATCCATAATACAAAGGTTCATCGTTTTACTCTCTCTCTCTCTCTCTCTCAAAGTGCAATCTATACCTTAACGTGACAGTATGAAGACACGCCTCCAGAAGCAGCGAGCTAATGCCATCGGAGCTCAACAGCCAGCCGAATTGAAACCAAAACGGACCTCGTTGATGATCGCGAGTCGATTTCGGCCTTCAGACTCGGATTTCATAGCGCATCGAGAACAAAAACGAGCATCTCCTACCGACTTGGTCGGTGTCAGTGAGTAGGACCCACCCTTATTCCAGCGAGAGTTTGCTGGATGACAACGGCAGGTGTCCTCATTAGTGCCTTCTAAAGCCTGCCAACACTTAGTTATGGTCGTGATAGGATTAATTGCATGTTACTAACATCATCAATTTATGCTAATTCATTTATCCTAATATTATCAATTTTATCAATAAATATATAAAAACAAAAGATAAACAAATAATTTAACGTTCTAATTAATAATGATGGATGACATATACATATATATATATATATATATATATATATATATATATATATATATATATATATATTCCATCCCTTTTTTTAAAT